ATGCACGGTTTGTTTTTTTTGGTGGCCCCACAGTTTTGCACCAAGAGTGCCCTGGCCTTGGATTAATTGGTACGTATCTAGTAATGAGTGATAGCAATATTAATTTTTTTACTAAGAGGTTCATATTCACTGAAAAGAATCATCGGGCACCGCGACGTACCGGGGTTTACGACCAAATGGAACAAAAGTTGGCTTAACTACAGAATACAGGGCAAATTTTCTAGGTATATTCGTTGGGGTGGCTCGGTGGCTCGGTAGTCCCGCCTAACGAGCCACTGAGCCGTCGAGCCACTAAACTATATAACCTCGACTGAAGAGCCACCGAGCCGCCGAGCTACTAAAATATATACCTATAATCTGCTATAATACATAGTAAAGTATATGCCTTCTATGTCTGTCTTATACTTATATGTCTTATATCTTTCTCGTTCTTTAAACACTTGTCGTGACTAGCGAGCCACCGAGCCACTTCTGTTTAAGACCTGAAAATATGGCCCTGTATTCTGTAGTTGCTCCACAACTTTTTACCAATCGGAAATTCCACTTTTGCTCCCACCGAAATTTCCGGGTTTTCTCCCTAAATGGAAAGCGCCCTCTGTTTCAGCAATTCACTCAAGACCGTTCCCCTTAAAAGTGAACGATGGCATGCTTGTTTGACATTTTCTAACGTCTTGCCATTGTAAAACTGGTGGTATTTTGTAAGATCTCGAGTAGGACGCTATCATAAGACAACGAAAGAGAGAGAAAATTGTAACCTGCACGATTAACGGCCTGTCTTCGTCACACGTGTGAAAAGCCTCCTTTCGATAGTACGAGTCCTTTACAAACAATCCCGCATGAATCATCGGCGTGTAGCACAGTTCTGCACCGTATCTTCGGCTTAAAAGTCGCCATGGTAATTCAGACTGATCCACCATAGGTGCAACAACATATTTAGGTGATTTAAGTACATGCTCCCAAAACTCGTAGCTTTTAAATTTTGGAGCCATTTTGGTCAGCGAGTTGATGTTTCGAGTCTGGCTTCCGGTTAGCACGTTGTATATGATAAACGAAATATATACATGCAGTGAGTCCTGCAGTATCACCGCCTGAATAATTCATCCGTCCAATCAGCCTTTTAGTCTTTAAATACAGTTTTAGTCTGAATTGCTGGTCTTGATCCTGAGAAGCCAATTAAAATCAGGGAGAGAGAAGGGGGTTAGTTTAATAAAAACTTTTGTCCTGCGCCAGGGTACTTTTTTTAATGCTAGTCTGGCTCAGGACTGATGCAGGCGTTTCCCATTTCCTACTACAAAAACGGAGGTCAGATGATACTTCTAGAGACAGAACAAACCGATTTCTCTTCCCCACCTAAACTATTAATTAACAATTTAAATTATATTAATAAGTTAAATTATATAAAATGAAGAATGATCCTCGCAGCACGATGAACCCAATACTATAAAATGGTGTAAGAATTATAGGCCTGAAAAATAGTCTGGACTGGGTTGTTCAAAGCAGGGTTCAGATAACCCAGGGTCAGTGCAAAATTTCAATTCAGATATGAAAGCTTAAAAAGCAAATTCAGTTTTATTCTTTTTGTCCACAATTTGATGATTTGTACCCATGGTACCAGAGGTTTTTCTCGCGTGTTGGCCGAAGGCCAAAGCCAAGAGCAGCGAGTCACTATAAAGACTTGACAGAAACTGAAAACCGCACTAATAAAGTCTCTGGCACCCAGGGTAGATGATTTGATGCTCTAAAAAAAATCGAGAAAATTGTCCTGAAAAATGCTTTTGAACAAAAGGAAAAGAAACATGGGTTAAAATTTAACCCTGGGTTAGCACTTATCGGCCTTCAAACAACTGGGCCCTCAGGACTTCAACTGGGTTTGAACCCATGAATGTGATAGATGTATATGAAATAAATCATTATTATAAGAACTGCAGAAATGAAATCAAATGAAGAATGATCCTCGCCCAAATTTTAAAACACTTACGTCCCACCTACACAGGAGGTTTTCAAATAATAAACTCATGTATATGTGGTGCTTCAACTTTGCTTAAAACAAAGGAAAATAAAATTTATAAATTAGTGTTAACCAAAGATAACAGCCCATTTCCGAGTTCCAAATACTCTCATTTTTGACACAAGGCTAAGTGCAAAACCTATCTTGTGAAAATTAGTTTTACTTCAGTGGAATTACCGAATAAAAAGTCATTCTTGTAGCAATGGCTTCACACTGAGCCTCGGGAGATTCGGGCAACTCAGAATTGGCCTACTAAAAAACGTAAAAAATGAAAAATGTCTGAAAATGCAAATATCAAACAGAAAGGAGAACTAAAAATTTAGGAAGACAATTTATTACCTCGTTATAAAGTCCTGAATTGTAGTAAAGGTAGAAATGTCTTAGCTGACTTAATCAATCAGATTTCATTAAACAGCATTCAAGTTTATAAAGAAAAAAAATGGCCTTTGGCTCTTAATGTAATCACCACTAAACAGTGGCAATACTTGGAAAGCTAGGTACTGTAAGATTGTAAATTTGATCTGTCTCGCCCCAGTTGTTCAAAAGCTGGATAGGACTATCCATCAGATAAATCTCTATCAAGTGGAAAAGTACTAGTTAAACCAATTGCACTATTCACTGGATAGAGATTTATCCTGTGTATAGCGCTGTCCACCTTTTGAACAACTTGGCCCTGATAAATAAAGGTGCAAATTGAATACAACTCACAGAATAGTAATTTATTTCATACTCTAATGCTACGATAAACTTTTGAACAATGTTTCACATAACTGATAGCCCTGAAGCAAGCCATCCATTGAAGGGATATTCAACATATCCAATGCGGCGCTTACTTGCAGTCTATATAACTGATAATTGTTCTTTCAGCAGCCTACTGCATTAGATCCTCCTTCACAAAGATAAGCAGAGAGACTCCTTGATGGCATTATTCTACAAAAACTCAATTATACAGAATATATCCGAGGCTCTCTGTGAAGTGTCAGATATTAATGCTGACATGATAGTGAGATAACAAGAGAAACAACTGAAGCAGGAACAAACTACAATAACATCACTCCATAACATTAATAAATTTTAGTCCTACATCCACAAGAGGCTCACATATATTTTTCATTTCAGCTCGAGACTTCTCTACTTTGTTCAAAACTGTTGGCTTTGTAGCACCAACATTTTGTTAAAGGGGAAACTACCTGTTGTTAATAATACTTACAAAAATACTACTTCTATTAAAACTTTTTTTAAGTTTAATGTAGTTTGCACTTGTTCTTGGTACAGCAAAAACCTGCATGTAACAACCTGCAAATCACCCTATTCCATCAGAACAACATTTGATTTCAGCCAGTTGCCAAAAATCAGTGGTTCTTATATGCAGGTTTTCACTGTCAATCTATGTGTAGCATTTCCTAGGAAATAATAAAAATCTTGCAAAAAATCACTGAGCATACAGTGCAACAGACGTGAGTATTAACTGTTCAATATTCTTCAGTTTAAGACAGTCTTGTCTTTGTCCGCCATTAAAAACATTAGGCGCAAAATCAATCTTTCCACAAAGCAATACTACATCGTCTTAATTGGCAAAATTGTTTAAATAGTTCAGATTATGGTGCTGTGTGAAACTAAAAAAAGCTATAAGTGAAATTAGTAGCTCAGTCTTCTCCCATGTCAACATCACCCTGTAAAAAAAGACAAAAAATAATCTTACTCAAACAAAGTTACACGTACGTAAAGTAGCATAAGATATTCCAATAGAGCCATTGTACTAGTAGAAAAGTTAATGATCAGCTGCTGCATTCAATAATCAAATTCTTGGGGAAAAACTGACGTCTGTACAGCCCCCAAAATGATCCCGACCCCGAAATGATCCCCAACCCTGAAATGATCCCCAAATCGACCCCGAAATGATACCGACCCCGACATGATCCCCATTTCTCTTCACGTCGACCCCGAAATGATCCCCAATTAATTCTTGGAATGGAATGGTATTCTGTCACGGAATTATTACAATCTGTTGCAGCGTTTACGGTCGTAAATCACGTTTAACATTTCGCGACAGTTTGTGTTGTTTTTTTAGCACTTTTATAATCTAATCGCCTTTATGTATACTTTTGCATCTTCAACATCATTTTAAAACTTTTTAAAAGTCTTAAAACACCATTTTTAAAATTCCATATCCAAGGCATGCTGTTTTAACATCATTTTTAAAATTTAACATCTATGCAGGTTTCTCTATAACCCAGTCTATAATCACCTAAGTAATAATTTTAAAAAATGTTATGTTTCTTGATGTTATCAGTTGCAGTTCATGGTGTTACTAAAAATGTACTAGACTTTGTGTATTTTTTTGAAAATAATATTTTCGTTTAATCCAGTTTAAAGTGTAATCCCAAATTAATGTCATGTGAGCGACTGAAGATTATTAGTGAAACTTAAGTTATAATGTTGCGCATTTTGCACGATCCATAGTTCTAGGATATCATTCCATTCCTAAAATTAAATGGGGATCATTTCGGGGTCGATGTGAGGAGAAATGGAGATCATTTCGGGGTCGGTATCATTTCCGGGTCGATTTGGAGATCATTTCAGGGCTGGGGATCATTTGGAGGGCTGTACAAGTCTTTTGGTTAACATTCAAGAAAAAATTCAGCATTTTTCAACAACACACTTGAAATGACTCTTTGAAACTCTTGTTTCCTTTCTTTTTTTTTCATAGTTTGCTCTGCTAATTCATCAACATAGTAATTCTACATAGTAGTTGCTACTTCAAACCCTGAGCTATCTCCAATATTTTTAAAAAAATGCAAGACATATGTTTTAGATCAATGCTTGGGAAGTCATAGCAAGGTAAAAACAAAAAAACGATGTCCATATTTTTTGTTTTCAAAAACACAGTAGGTTTAAGCTTAAAGTAGCATTCTCTCCGTATTCCATTAAAAATGTTTTGTTTTTGACTTGGTGCAATTCCATCACCCTGGTATCTATATAATTGTGGATTTTAAAAGGGGGTGGGGTGTGTGATTATTTTTACCGCATCATGATAAGCATCCAGTTCTGCATCAAGATCCTCTGCTGTGACATTGGCTCTCTGAAAGCCACCCCGCCTGCCACCTCGTCCACGACCTCTGCCTCTTCCACCACGCCCACCACTTCTGCCCTGACCACTAAACTGTTGCCGTCTTCTACTAAACAAACAATACCCAACAAAGTCTTTAGTACCAAAGCAATGAGCATCACATCACACTACAAAAACTCTTTGAATATCACTGAAGGGCTGTGCTCTAGCAGTGCCCGCTGCTCTCTTGGGCTTTACTTTTTCTCTTGGGTGACTGGAAAATCTTAGTTTTTCCATAAAAAAAACTATGATGGGCAAGTCCCTGGATTTCACATGTTCAATAAGTTAAACAGTTGCAAGTCTTTTGGGTATTATAATGCATGTAAGTTGTTGATCGTGAGTGTCAGCCAAAAATTTACATAAATGTTCTACTTCAAATGGGATTATGGATTTTAACAACAAATGAGAAATTACCTTTGTCCTTGACCTTGGGAGCCTCTAACACTTGCCCCACTGGTGATCAGTTCAATGACCATTTCTCTCCCTAAAACATTCAACAACAATTATTATTGTTAAATGACCAACGATACAAGCACTAAGAGTGGCAATCACCTGTAACTACAGTGACTTTTTTACAGCTACCTAAATTTCACATCAGTCAAATTTAACTTTTCACTTTTTAGTGAAATTGAAGGTGCAACAAACCTGAACCTTAATGTTTTCTGTTCACCAGGACAACATTTACTATCAGTTAAAGATTGAAAACCAAGTGTATTGTTTATTCTACAGAAATTGACGAACCCAGTACTTTTCCTACATTTACAGCAGAATCTAAGTCATCAATGACTTAATTCAGTGGGTACAGAGTCATAATCTAAACTCAAATGAATGCACAACAACAGCATTTCAGAACCTTCTAAATTAATTTTTTTTTTCATTTCAAGACCAAGTTTACTATTTTTATGTAATTATTTATTTACAATGTCTAAAACTTTTAAAACTACACTTTACATGGCTCACACAGTCTATGTATCGAAGGTGTGAAAATTTTAAAGATTTTTAAACAGAGGCCAAATGAAGCATTACTGACTCTTACAACAAATGGTAAAATTTACACCACACCTGCTGGAATTTAGTTTCTTAAAGATTGTGTAAGCCACGTGTAATCAGCAAACAAACCAGCTAGAAAGACATCATGGTCAGTATTACCAGAAAAGGTGGAAACAACTCTGCAACGGGTGGAGACAAGATGACTCCAGTTTGAGCCCAAAGCTGTGTTTTTGACACCTGGCTGAGCTGGGGTGAAAATGAAGCATGCCAAGGAACATCTGTGGTGGGGCTGCAGCCTTTGTAGTACACTTTAGATTGAGCCCCAACAGTAACCAAGCCCAATGAATGGCCCGATGATTGCTGCTGGATGAGGTCTTGCCAGCCAGATGGTGCTGACCGGACTCAATCAATAAAAAAATTAACATATTTTACCATCAAGAGGCACTCCGTTATACTGTTTCATGGCACGCTGTGCATGATCTCTCTGCTGAAAAATGACTTCTGCCGTGCCAAGGGATCGGCCTGAAACATCATAGTGGACAGTGGCTTTCTTCAGCGGCCCAAACTCACTGAACAATTCCTGAGCATTAAAACAGAAGATTATTTTTTAATGACATTGGGATCAGAAACCCTAGGCTGACCATAGAATAAACTCATACCGTCAACAAAAGACTTGAGGTTGTTTAATGGATCATTTTTTTAATTGCAGACAGTCTGCTACAAATTCTCTCCATCTGAAAGTCAAATCACTTCGAATCTTTGTTGTGTCAGTTAAACTGTAGAAAAAACAGTTCAAGAAAAGCCTAAGAAAGCAACTGAAGGCTCTACTTTCCTTTGTACTATTTAAAGGGAACAATCCAGAAATTATAAGGTTTATCAAAGGCACCCTTGGAAAACCACAGTTTGGTATTCAACAATTTACTGGTCTCAGGGCTGTGCTCTAGCAGAGCCCAGTGGCCCCTGGCGCCTAACTTTTGCCCACGGGCGACTAGAAAATCTCAGATTTTTCATATAAATCATATGCTGGGCACCCTAAATTTTACAGTTTCAGAGCACTGGGCTTCCTTCAATTTTCCTTAGAGCACAGCCTTGTGGGCTTGTTTCTGGGTTAATCCTTAATTGTTTCATTGAAAATAACATATGCATAAAAGATTTCTCCTTTCTGTTTTTTTTTTTAATTTTATTTTTCCTTTATCTTTCTGTTCACAACACTTCAACAATCAAAACAAAATGATGGTAGTCGCCTGAACTTTCCTTCTTTCTGAGGTTTTCTTCCCTATAATTATTTTCCCATGATCACAAATCGGCCTAGCAAACTCTTCCATTTTCATAGCAATATATAAAGGCTATGTGAGTTCTAATATCTTATTGATCACTCAAAATTAACACTTCAACAAAGATTCAAATAATAACGGCTAACTTGTAGATGACATTCACTGCTGGATTCGAACAATCTGACTTTGACTCTTAACAATTTAGGCACAGCAACGCGAATAATCTAAGGAAATCTTAAGAAATCATACCAGATCAAAGGATCGTAAGTTTACCTGAATGTCTGAATCCGAGACGCCAAAATCCAGGTTTGAAATGGAAAGTTTACAGCCCGTAGAAATTCCACCACCGCGATTTCTTCCCCCCCGAAAACCGGTGTCGCCATCGAACAAATCATGCTGCCATTTATCTGGTAACTGTTTAGGCTGAAATATATTAAAAGAAATAAAGTGAGTGCTATGAAATAGAAGCTGAACAGAGAAAAGATAGCTTAAAAATTTCTCAAACTTTTCCCTAGCGATGAAGATCGAAAGAACGAGAGCGCACGAACGAACATATCTTTGAAAGCGATAAGACTCTCAAACCAAAAACTTGAGATCTATATTTCGAATACAACAGAGAGAGGAAGAGGTAAAGAGANAAAAACAGTTCAAGAAAAGCCTAAGAAAGCAACTGAAGGCTCTACTTTCCTTTGTACTATTTAAAGGGAACAATCCAGAAATTATAAGGTTTATCAAAGGCACCCTTGGAAAACCACAGTTTGGTATTCAACAATTTACTGGTCTCAGGGCTGTGCTCTAGCAGAGCCCAGTGGCCCCTGGCGCCTAACTTTTGCCCACGGGCGACTAGAAAATCTCAGATTTTTCATATAAATCATATGCTGGGCACCCTAAATTTTACAGTTTCAGAGCACTGGGCTTCCTTCAATTTTCCTTAGAGCACAGCCTTGTGGGCTTGTTTCTGGGTTAATCCTTAATTGTTTCATTGAAAATAACATATGCATAAAAGATTTCTCCTTTCTGTTTTTTTTTTTAATTTTATTTTTCCTTTATCTTTCTGTTCACAACACTTCAACAATCAAAACAAAATGATGGTAGTCGCCTGAACTTTCCTTCTTTCTGAGGTTTTCTTCCCTATAATTATTTTCCCATGATCACAAATCGGCCTAGCAAACTCTTCCATTTTCATAGCAATATATAAAGGCTATGTGAGTTCTAATATCTTATTGATCACTCAAAATTAACACTTCAACAAAGATTCAAATAATAACGGCTAACTTGTAGATGACATTCACTGCTGGATTCGAACAATCTGACTTTGACTCTTAACAATTTAGGCACAGCAACGCGAATAATCTAAGGAAATCTTAAGAAATCATACCAGATCAAAGGATCGTAAGTTTACCTGAATGTCTGAATCCGAGACGCCAAAATCCAGGTTTGAAATGGAAAGTTTACAGCCCGTAGAAATTCCACCACCGCGATTTCTTCCCCCCCGAAAACCGGTGTCGCCATCGAACAAATCATGCTGCCATTTATCTGGTAACTGTTTAGGCTGAAATATATTAAAAGAAATAAAGTGAGTGCTATGAAATAGAAGCTGAACAGAGAAAAGATAGCTTAAAAATTTCTCAAACTTTTCCCTAGCGATGAAGATCGAAAGAACGAGAGCGCACGAACGAACATATCTTTGAAAGCGATAAGACTCTCAAACCAAAAACTTGAGATCTATATTTCGAATACAACAGAGAGAGGAAGAGGTAAAGAGAGTTTCTTATACTAATCTGCCAAGTCTTATTCTAAAGGGAAAAAAAATTCAAAGCACTTACTCTTGTATATGGCGTCGGTCTATTCTTGGTTATCCCACCTCTACGACTTCTCCCAGGAGCTCCACCGCCTCCTCTACCTCCTCTTCCACGTCCACCTCTTCCTCTTCTGTTTTGAATTCTGTTAAGCTTGACTATTTCGTCCAAAGACATATCTACTTTATCCTTTGCGGCCATTTTGCTTCGTTCAAAGATGGTAAACTGCCTCGTGCTCAAAGTGACGCGTTGACTGATTATGGGATGCTGAAACCTCGCCTCGATCCCATGCTACTTATGCTAAAGCGCGGGAAATTAAAGAGCCTTTGTGACCTTTGCGGCGAAGTTGCCGCGCGCGCGGCGCTTAGCGTTTTATTTGCCGCTGTTCGCATTCAAAAAAAAGAAAGGAAACCGCCTATCAGGCGCGCTATGGAATTCGGACTTTTCGTAAAAGGAGCTACATCATGTAACAACACTGTCTTCCATTACTGCTCCTTTAAACGGGANGTGAGTGCTATGAAATAGAACCTGAACAGCGCAAAGATAGCTTGAAAATTTCTCAAACTTTTCCCTAGCGATGAAGATCGAAAGAACGAGAGCGCAGGAACTAACATATCTTTGAAAGCGATAAGACTCTCAAACCAAAAACTTGAGATCTATATTTCGAATACAACAGAGAGAGGAAGAGGTAAAGAGAGTTTCTTACACTAATCTGCCAAGTCTTATTCTAAAGGGAAAAAATTCAAAGCACTTACTCTTGTATATGGCGTCGGTCTATTCTTGGTTATCCCACCTCTACGACTTCTCCCAGGAGCTCCACCGCCTCCTCTACCTCCTCTTCCACGTCCACCTCTTCCTCTTCTGTTTTGAATTCTGTTAAGCTTGACTATTTCGTCCAAAGACATATCTACTTTATCCTTTGCGGCCATTTTGCTTCGTTCAAAGATGGTAAACTGCCTCGTGCTCAAAGAGACGCGTTGACTGATTATGGGATGTTGAAGTTGCGCCTCGATCCCATGCTACTTATACTAAAGCGCGGGAAATTAAAAAGCCTTTGTGACCTTTAATTTGCGGCGAAGTTGCCGCGCGCGCGGCGCTTAGCGTTTTATTTGCCGCTGTTCGCCGCCTATCGGGCTTGCTATGGAATTCGGACTTTTCGTAAAAGGGGCTACATCATGTAACAACACTGTCTTTCAGCTCGGCATATAATAAAGATCTGCGGTCTCAGGAGTCCGTTACTGCTCCTTTTAGCCTGCATGATAGGCGCTTTATGAGCCAAGCGGGGCGAACGCGATATTTCGAAATATCGCTTTCGCCCCGCTTGGCTCATAAAGCGCCTGTCATGCAGGCTAGCTCCTTTAAACAGGAGCCCTGTTTTAGATTGACTCTTGATTATCGGAGCAAAAACCCTGTAACAAATTAAAAAACTAAATATAATTGGAAAAAGAAGGTGACGCAACGTAGGTCTAAGAGTTTATAATTGGAGACCAAAAAGCTCCGAGTCAGTAGATAGCAACCCCTGAAGAGTATGAAAAATGTTTGCATTTCAACTTTTATCCACCTTGACCAACTTTGGTTTCCTGAACGCTGGAATTCACTGTCTCTATAATGAGCACCTATGAAAAAACAGAAAAAAGTCGACTGGGTTTAAAACCCTTAAATGTCGACTAAAAGAAAGCCGATTTTTATACGCAAGACTAACCAGGACAATTCATTCGGATGGCTAAAAACTTCGATTCGTTGTCTTTTTAACAATTCAAAACCTGACAGTTTTTAGTAGCCTGAATCTTCTAGTCGTTATTACTTCCTCAGTAACACGTTGCTGAGAGGAGAAAACGACTCGAAGCAATCGAATGAAATTTAGGCTACTAAAAACTGTCAGGTCTTGAATTGTTAAAGAGACGACGAATCGAAATTTTTCCACATAATTAGTCTGAGCGAAAGAATAAAACAGACGAATTATTAGTATTATTGATACATTGCACTCATTATCTATCTTCTCATTGGCTAAGTTTCTACAGTTACTTTTGGAAAACAGCGCAACCTACGGATTAGCTCATAATTTATATCTGCTGGCAGATAACTGACGAGAGGTTGCGCGCCCAATGCATGATTTCCAAGAGCAATGTAAAATCGGTTCCGTGCGACAGTGTATTCGTCGTTATTTATATCAAAACAATGTATAATAAAACAATTATTAGATTCGGTTTTTGTGATATCCGGAATAATCAAGAACCCGGTAAGTGTTATCAGCCGAGCTGAAGGCCGAGGCAGATAACACCGGGACCAGAAGTCCTCGTGCTCAGGCCCCCAGGAGGCTCTGGAGACGAGAATGACACGTACCAAGACACTTGATTATTTCGGGATATTACAAAAACGTCATGCAATAACGGTTTACTAGTCTACTCATTTTGCTGCATCATATTACACAATATGTTGATCCACACAGTACTACGTACATCCGTTTAATTATACTGCGAAAGTCTGCAGTAAAGAAAGAAAAGGAAGCCCTTTCGTACGTATATGCCTTCTAGCGGCAAAGTACCCCTTATACCAAGAGAGAATTCATTCTCTCTTGCCTTATACGGAGTACCTACAGTAGTTCAGAACCCTGTTTCCCTTTTAACAGCTTTTAATTGCTGTAAATACAAAATCCTATAAAATATGTATAAATCACTTAACCAGAAGTTTTCCCAATCGTCTTTATCACAGCAAGACACACAATCAAAAGCAGGCGCGGATCCAGACCAGTTTCCACCGTTTTACGGAAATCGATCAGATTTTCATATCAAATATATCAAATAATTTAGCCTTGATGAAATAATCCGCCAATTTGCAAGGCTTCATCCACAGGAAAAAATAACGGATTCCCATTTTTGAAAAATCCCAAATTTGGCAAAGTGAGACAAGTCCCAAGCAGGGAATTCCCAACTAAATTCCCTGATTGGGACTTGTCTCACTCTTCCAAATTTGGGATTTTTGTGGGTATTCTTTAAATACCCTAAAATATCAAAAAATGGGAATCTGTTATTTTTTCCTGTGATCCGAGGAAAATGGAACTGGCCAATATCCTGTCTGAAGACTCAGAAACCCAGGAAAGAGGACCTTAGGGAGTTAAAATTTCCTTAACGAGCGCCCGGCGAAGGCCCAAACTTCTCGGCTTCATAGAAAGCGCCTAGAAGCTTGCACCTCGGTCCTTGTTTAGGAAATCGGTCAGTAGTTATCCTAGATCCGCGCCTGAAAAGCGGATAGCAGCCCTTTTAGGTCCTTTCAGAGACCGCAATGACAGATTTCCCTACCCATTCACATACTTCGACTCGTGAAATCACTATACCCTTTCATATACCTGAAGCCTGAAAAGGTACCCTTTCGGGGGGGAACCTCCCCATATTTCCTGATACTACCCCTTATTTAGGCAAATATCAATTTTCCCATTTTACGTAAAAATGGCTTTCTGAGTAGATTACCATAAGAGAGAGGCGTTTATTCTCATAACTGTAACAAGCTCAACAAAACTAATATGCTTTCGGCGCAAATATCAAGAGAATTTAAAAATAATGGAATATCCACTCCATCAACTGATACGATTAGAGATCATGTTATCGCTCTTTCAAATCTCACTAGCGAAATCAGAATCCTCGCTCAGGGTTATTGTGTTACCATCGTAGGTCTATCCTTACTTCGAACCTGGCATTGACAAGATACAATACGCAAACCCTTGTTAATCAAGCAAGAAATTGAATAAATTGAATGATTTTGCTCCTTTATGCTACATCCTAGTAGTTCAGAGTAATTCTCATAGGGGGCGTCTATACGACGGGTGGCGTTTATTAAAGAGGGGCGTCTAATACAAATTTTACATTGTAGAGGGGGGCGTTCATTAGATAAGAGGCGTTTATTTGAGAGTAGGCGTCTATTAGATCACCGTCATAATTTTAATATTTACACTTAGATACAACAAATATTTACAACAAGCGACTCTACCGTCGGTGCAAACGTTTTAAGCATAGATTCTTAACTGCTGAAAGACAAAAACATACAACGGAACATAACAGGTCTGCTTTCTTGGTTATTGTTAATTCAATACTTTTTATAGAAACAGAGCGTTTTCATTCACGTGGCCAGCATCTATGCTAATTTATTGGAACGAAAGAAAGTTTTTACACACATAAGAAACGAGTTCAACTCCACAGGCTAGGTTGGCCGCCATTTGATTGTTTTGGAACACCAATATGGCCGCCGTGACGTCATGTGAAAACGCTCTATTAATGCAACTAAAACGTTTTTTTAGCAATAAAATACAAAAGTTGCTTTTCTCTGGCCTACGTGCAACAGTGATCTGCATGCAGGTGACCTATTTTTCGCGTCTTTTCAGTCAGTTTTAATCAATGGCGCGTATGAAACTAGTTTAAACCAAGCGAAGAAAAAGGCTCTTTAACTCTCTGGCCTCGTAGGTAACGGTATTCTTTCCAGGGTGCATCTTTTCTTCTTCTAAGGGCTGTTCAACAACTGCTGCTACATTCTTGCCGTAAACTGCAAAGTAAACAGAAAATTAACTTTAATTATAATCTTCAAGAATGCAGTGTACACGGGGTTTTACTATATGCTACAAGTAAAATGCTCGTCAATAAAAGGTTAAAGAAAGGGAAACTTTCACTCACGTGGCAGTAATCATCAAAATAATGTTGATAATCTTAATTCTCTCTTTAATAATATCCGGAATTGACTAATTAAATTAAATTTTCTTCGGCGCAAAATCAAGCCTCGGAGAAGCTCTCCTATAACTTGCATGGTCGGAATACACATAGCTAGGAGATAAAAACGGGAGATGGGAGGAAAGTGAGTGTATTGAAGCCCGAAGGATTGCTTGTCCTTGCCTGTAAGTAAGCTCTACATTTGAGAATCGCGGGTAGCAAAGGGCCACACGTTAGTCACAAGCAAAGCTAGCCTGCGCTGATTCAGGCGTTCAGATAGTGGAGAGTGTCGCGTAATAGAAAATAGAGAAAAAAGGACACAGAAAGGGAGAGATCGCCCACTCTCCCTACCCCAACCCACATCGTTTTTTATTTTTCCCCTGTTAGCTCCTCTTTGCTCTATTCCGACTATCTGGACGCCTAGAATAGGCTACAAGCGAAGCAAAGCGCGAGGGCGGAAGGAAGACTGGAGAGGGAGCTTTCCTTCTTCTCTTCGCCATTATCTTTCGAGGCTCATTCGCATGTGACCTTCGACTCTCATGACTTTCAAATGAAGCCCTTGCTGGCAGGTTATGTTTGTCCAGACTTGGTCATTAACCCGGGAGTACTTTAAAACCACATCCTTCACAGCGGCGGCTGCACATAGATATATATAGCCCATATATGGTAGTACCCCCGGGCTGGAGCTCCTGATAAGCTCCTGCCCTGGGTCATTACCTTCACAGTGCTCCAAGAACTGAATGATGTCCTGTATGACACTATCTCGCAACATAATCATATGCTTAGCCTGAAAGAAAAACAGAAAACAAAGTTTTGTGTTGTTGTGTTGCAGACGATACTACACTGAATAAAATGAGACGGGCGATTTCTCTTAAAAAAAGAACAAATAAAAATGACAAAAAATATATACAGTCAACTCCCTTTATAGCGGACATTATAGAGACCTTGAGTTAGTGTCCTCATTAGCGAGAGTCAGTAATAGCGGGAAATTATTTCAGTCAACCATCTGTAATTTATGTTTCGCCGGGATTTAGCTGCTGTCCGTATTATATCGGGGTGTCTGTTATAGCGGGAAGTCCGCAAGGCGAGAGTTGACTAATTGGCAACGATGTGCGATCTAATATTAAAGCACAAGGCGAAAGCTGCTGCCTTTTGTCGCGGCCAGAGATTGGCACGCGGCTGGATTCATCACAAACATCCTGCCTTGGAATTAGACTACGAGTAGTCCCCATTTTTCCTCAGGGATAGTAGAGCGAGCAAAACGCGAGCGCGCGTGAAAATCACCCCACGCGAGAAAGGCGTGGGGCAATTTTCACGCGCGTTGCTTTACGATGGCCACAGTAACGCTCTTCGAAAAGCGTTGCGTAGCGACACTAAAAACGGCTGTGTAGCAGACTAAGCTTCAACTGATGGGGTCGTTCGATTGGCCCGTCACCTCATCCTCCCAAGCGAATGTGAGGGAGGAACGCGTGACGAAGCCTGAGCACTATGCGTCGGGAGGCTATTATTAGCCGTGAATAAAGGCTCACAAGAGTTTTTTAAAATAATCATTTCAGTGCTCCTTACCATGTTCTCTAGCAGCGACAAAAAGCATCTTTTGGCGTAAAACCACGTATCTGTTCCAAGCTACAATGAAGAGAAGAAAAAGCAACGCAAACGAGTGAAATTAACCAGCAAAGGAGATTCTCCTATTAACTCGAACGCCACTCGCGTAGTCTTCAAGCATTCCCTGGAGACTGTCGCGGGCACGAGCGTGTCCCACGCAGGCTGATGAGTTCTACCACACCTTGACTTGAGTGACTGACAAGGGATAAGGTAAGTTGGGCGGAAGCTAAGGTAATCGTTGTTTGTTCAAAGTTTGGTAAATGTAACATGTAAATGTAACAAAAGAATCACACCTTTTTATTGTAGGGCTCCAAGCTCTTCATTATCCTGGATATTCCAAACTCGTAGTTTCCCTTGGCACAATATAAGGTTCTACATATACAGCAGCAAAAAAGTAGAGTAGTTTTCAATCGCAATCTCTTAAGCAATTTTATCAAACATTGTAAACTTGTTCTCTGGCAGGTAGAGAAAGTTCGCGTTACTCTCAGAACCAATACAAAGAAACGCGGAAACTGAAAACTGAATAAATTACGTACATTGGCCACCGCATGAAAATTCAAAAGCTCTCGTCTACCCTTTTTTTGGGGGCGGGGAGGGGTGGGGAGGGGAAGAAATTAAACGAGCGCGCCAATTACCCAAACCCCTTTGCGCTGGCGGTTGAAAAGTCCCCCCGTGGTTTTAATTACCATCTCTAAAGAGAAAATAGACAGTTTATGAGCAGACTTTCTGGCAAAGCCATATTGCTTATAATACGATGTCCTGCTAAAGATAAAAAAAGATAATTTTAAAAGCAGAGGAAAGATTGGCCTGCAATATGTATAGCTTGCACAAAAACTGATCACATCACTAACCCGATAACAAGGTTCACTATACACAAATGGTAAATCTTTTTGTCCGGATCATCATACGCAACTTGTTCCTGAAAAAGACAGCGTCACACACAGAAAAATGAAATGAAATACAGTTCTTTCAGTGATCATTCATAAACTCACTCATCCTAAACACGAAAACCATGTCCTCACCTCTTCTTTTTCAATTTTTCGCATTAATTCTTCGGCCTGCAAAACAAAAGGAAAGAACAATAATATTACGTACATGAAAGAACTGATTTATCAACAATAATTACTTGGTATAAAACAAACACCACGGTACTAACCTCTTCGTTAGCACTGGTCATGATGTAGGACACACAGAGATTGGCTAGCACTATGGCACTAACACTAAGGATCTGAAAAACATGACAACATGGACACAGCATTTCAGTAGAAGCATCTGTTTTCAGATAATATGATCTAATAGCTGAATTTCACTCTTAAAAAAATGTAATCCCCCACCCCCAAGGGTATTTCGGATGGGGAAGTGCTGCCGCCGCCTTCAAAACTTGACCACGTTTAAGACAAAAACCGTCGATATCGCAAACCTGTCAGTTTAAGACAAGAGACTTTTTTTCATACTCCGCGAGCAGTTTCTTATTTTATAGATAGGGAGCATGCGCGAGGGGCCCTGAGGAAAGAAAGAAGACTGCTCACGGGCTATTTTTTCTTGAACTTCGATTAATTTCATTTTGCGTACAGAATTAAGCATTTGACATCATGCATAGAATTAGGTAGCTTTTAAGAAATTATTGGTACCACGCATCAATGTCCTCACACCGCCAACGCTCCAAACCTATTAAAGTATTTAATCCACTAGAAGACATATCTCTGTGAATTTTGATCGCTTTTATGTACCACTCGTGTAAAACACCTTCACCTATCTTGATTCCCGGTTATAAGTTCACGAAAACACGGCAAATGGTCTCCTTAGATGACGTCACAACAACGTTCGTACCCGCCACCCAAAAATGCTCGGGTAATGAGACAGAAAGCACCTCACTTCAAACAGCTGAGGAAGGCGGGGTTTTTGTAAATTATTATAATTTCTTTTCGCACAGGTATTAAGAGATTTCATTTACGATGAACATTTTTGGAGGTTAGTTGCAATTTAAGAAGAACTGCAGAAATACTTACATTATCATAATGCTTTTTTACGATTGGCTCATAAAAACCAACAGCTTCTTTGTATTTGTTTTCCTATTGAAAAAAATGAAGAAAACTTATTACGCGGTCTGTTTCGTTAAGCTTGTCCAGATCATTGTTTGCAGTATAAGAGGCTATACTTACTTGCATGAATAATACGTGAGCAACGTTTAGCTTCCAAATTTCATGTTCATTGCAAAACTCGACAGACTTTCTAAATATCTGCAAAAAAAACAAGGATGTTTGAGTTTACAAAAAAGAACTTGCCTGCGATATTGTGCGATTATTTATAAGCTTGGAGATGATGTGAGTAGTGACTGAAGAGAAACATGTAAAAGGCCTTATCGGTAGATGAGGATATTTCAGAAAAAAACAAAAACAAGAGATCAACTACAATTTCCAAAAAGAGCACTTTTATCATTTACCTTTTCAACCTGTGCATAATTATCAAGATCCCAGTATATTTTCGCTTGAGACATCAACACAGGGATGTACCTACAACAAAAATATCATAAAATCGTTTGTCCTAACTCTTGACTGATAACCTTGAAAATTCCCAGAAACACTTGTTCTTCAATCAAGAAGGGGATGGGAGGTCCTGGTGGAGGGCAGTAACTTTGAGTGGTACAAAGAACAGGAAGAACGCGAAGAGCAAGAAGAGAAGGCTGAATAGGAAAATGAAAGGTTGAGATGAGAAAACAAGGGGATGAGGGGAGAATGGAAACAGGGAGGAAGCAGTAGGGCTTGGATGAGGAGAAGAATTAAAAGTAGCTGGGGGAAGGGAAAGAGATGGAGAGGGCGTCAGGTAGTCTTGGGTAAGGACTAAAAGGGAAAGGAAAAGGAGAAGAAACAGGACCAGCAAGAAGGAAAGCAAGAAGGGGAGAGAAAGGTAACAGTAGATTGGGGAGAAGGAGCGAAGGCATGAGGTAATAGAGGAGAAGAGATAGGAGGGAAACGAGATGGAGAAGAAACAGGGCCAGCCACAGGAACAGCAAGAAGGAAAGGAAGAAAGAGAGGGAAAAGTAGGAGTAATAATATTGGTAAAGATGAATGAGTGAGATAAAAGGGAGGAGAGCAGCAGAATAGGAAGAACAGGAAGGAAGAGAGCAGCGCCTCAATGAGACAAGCAATGTTGTTGGTACCTTTCCAGTGCTTCATCGTATTCATTCACAGCTTTCTTAACAGTGTCGTCATCATGATTCTGTCTTGCTTCTTGAACCTTATAGCACAGTATATTTCATTAAAAAAAGGAATAATTTAAAAATGTTCATTAAATAAAGGCTGATGCTATAAACAACTTATTTATGCTTGTATCGCACATAGTCTACCATCCTCTGTTTGTGTTGCAGACTGCATGTATGGAATAACTGGTGCGGTTGTAAATTAAGGTTTTGTACAATCGACATTTATGCTTTTTTGACTTCATCAATTTAAAGTAAAATCCTCAGAAACAGTGTTTGCTTCGTAGCTTTATGAACATTAAGTTTGATTCACTCAAACATAGAGGAATTAACCCCATTTTTTTCTACTCCTCAGAAAAGCAAATATTATAATACTCTTAATATCCTCTTCTTCTACCTTCATAGTAAAAACGCTTTCAAAACAATACACTTTGAATGCGTAGGCTTAAGCTCTTAGCAGGAACCTTGATATTTGTTCACTCCCCTCTTATTGTAACACTTGAGCAAAGGAGTTCTAGGTATACATATGTTACAGGTCAAATTTGATTTCAGGTTAAATTTTTTTAACCTAGGTTGACTCTCAATTTCCTTTGTTTCCTAGCCCTAATTCATGAATAATTAGGGCTAGGAAACAAACGAAATTGAGAATCAACCTAGGTTAAATCAAAATTAACCTGAAATCAAATTTGACCTGTAACATGTATATACAAAAATTCCTGTGGATTGATCTTTAAAAAACTAAACCAAACAGACCACTAACCTGTTTTGTTAGTTTCCTTAAGGTTTCTGTCTGTTTTGTGGCCATATCATCTAACTTTCGATAAGCCTATGAAATTATAATCAAATAAATTATTTGCAAATCAATGACTTTTTTAAAAATTGTGGATAAACCTTCTTTTATGGGTCAAACTAAGAACAACTGTGTCATAACCAATCACGAAACCAAGATTCACATTAGTCATCCAAATTAACATTATTGCTTACAGTTTAGTTATTATGTTTGCAAGTTTCTTACAGTGAAACCTGTTTTAAGTGAACACTAAGCTGGGTACTGAAATTGACGTCTTATATTTTCCTTTATAACAAACCCCTATTCAACAGACACCTCTATTGAGCAGGCGCGCACACTAAAGTAAATTGTATTTGGCTGATTTCTATTGCTAAAAACCTCTATCGAGTGAACACCGGACTGAATTGACAATGGTAAGTATTGGATTACTTCCTTGAAATACGTACTGTAGTCGATAAATTTGGTTAAATGTAATTTAACTAAGTTAACCATCACAAGCTTAGCGGTCAAGCGGTCCACAAGCTTGGTGGTCAAGGGGTTCACAATTAGTGGTCAAGCAGTTCACAAGCTTAGCGGTCAAGTGGTTCACAAGCTTAGCGGTTAAGCAGTCCACAAGTTAAGCGGTCAAGTGGTCCACAAGATTACGGCAGTGTTTTGATACAAACCTCCTCTGGTGATGTTTGCTGTGTTATCATGGCATCCAGAAAATCATACATGTACTGTACAAAAAAAAGAATCAGAAATACTTGATCAGATTCACTAATAAATAAAGCAAGCAGACAAGCCTGCTTGGTTGGTGTTGTTGTTGTGGTTCAGTTTTACTTAGCCTAAATTTTATGTCCCTTTGTTTTGAGGTATGGTAATGTACATTGTATGATAACGAGTTTAAAACAAAGGAAAATAAAATTTAAACCAAAGATAAAATTAAATCACAACATAGTCAAAGAAGGTGGTATAAATTATATAACTCTTCCCTACGAACAGGTTTGTGTTCCTTTAATGTTGGCAAAAGCCCAGAAAAGTCAACTTGTAACCAATGCATTAACTTACATGAAGCATTTCCACAGGCGTTTTTCTTTTCCTTTTTTTTTTGGACAATTTGACAGCCCACCAGCAAAGCAAGCATGCTAGAGCAAGCACTGAGTGACTAAATCTGCCGCAGTTTTTATTTTCATATAAGCACTCAACAATCTCCAAAGAAAAAAAGGGTCTGTTAACTGAGACAAACAAGACAGTAATAGCCCCAGGCAACATTTACATATATTATAGATTCTTGCAAAATCTACTATGGACATATTCACAAGCTCCATATACAGGTCAGGCGAGCAAAATGTGAGAGCTGTCCTTTGTAAGGAGAAGGACAAGCTGGAATTCAAGTTTCCTTTTTTCAAACCCTGGTTTGGGTAGACAAAAAAGAGGAGTTCATGTGAGTGATTGTACTTTGCAAGAAATCTCGAATATTAGAAGGAAATGTACTGGAACTGATAATGTCGGAAATATTTTGAATGTCTTCGTAGGTCCCTTCGTGGAAAACCTTTGATAAAAATCCCTTCCCTGTCACTTAAAACAAGTTGACAGGTTGACAATAGTTAGAGTTTACTGCTGTAGCCATGTTTGTTAATAAGCCAGCTAATGTTTGCCTTCTTCAAGTCACTGACCCTAACCATGTCTAACGGGTTCCTGTATGTTAGCCGGAGCAGCTAAGAGAACATTTGCTATAACTTAAGACTGTTACATTTGCATTCTTGGATAAAATCACTTACTGGTGTGAGGAATTTATAAGTCAGGTGAGCATTCTCTGCCAACACATCTGCAGCCAGATCAAAATACTAGAAAACGAAGAGGAGTAATATTGTGACATGTAAATACACTAGTTTGACAGAGAAATCTACTGACCCCTGACTACTGGAAAACACTTTTGTTGCAACCTCTCAGTCTAATTCTGGACAAAAAATTAGCCGCAGGTACACACATCTTAGTTAATCACTGCTACTATCTAGCTATTTAAAAGAACACATCAGTTCAATTATGACACTTATGTATGTGACATATTTCACATTTTCATTTTATTTTGAAAGTTAAATTCTGATGTTAAAGGTGGTGATTGAGTAATTTGTTTCATTGCGGGCAATTTTGTTACTTGCATCTTACAGTACCTGGTATTTAACATATAACAGCAGGAGATTTCCAAATGTTTCTACAAAACAAAAAGTGTCATAGTTAAATAAAACAGAACTGGAAGTGGGACATTTTATAGAGGAACAACCCAAGGTCTGTCTTGATTGCCGACAGTGAAGACAGCTATTGTATGCCACATGTATGCTCTTCTTTGCATAAAATATACAGCATCTGTCCCATAAAAGCTTAGATGGCTGGATTAAGAAGCACCATGCAATTACAGCTACATGACTTATCAGTGAGAATATTTCTAATTATACATACAACTGCAAATTATTTTGCTTATCAGTTTCCAGTTAGAACATTTTATAGTCCATAACAATAAAATTATGGTTCTAACACTTGTACTATGCTTTCACTATGACATCTGGAAACAGTTACAATGACTTGGCTTAGTCTATGCATGTGACTGATTGGACGAGAATAAACAATAACAGTAAATAATACAGTTTTTGTTTTTACCTGGTGGGAATGGATTTTGTTGTAACAAGAACTGAAGCTTTTCAAATCCCTTCAAAGCAAAAAAAGACATTCTTAGTTAAAAAATAATATTATCATGGGAAACCGAAGCCGGGAAGGAAGAATTAAATGACAGTGCAGAAGAGAGACTTCTAATCAGATATATACTGCACCTGTGTTGGATTAGCCTCCATGTTCATAAGAGCTTGGTTGTGTAAAGTGACTGGGTCAAGCTCCTGTAATTTTTCACCAAGTTAAAATCATTTGTTAGTTATACATATTTTTAGGTTGTGTATTGTTGTTTGCAGACATGCACATCTTTCTCAAAATTTGCAAAGTAAAGATTTGTGTCAACCATAATTATTATGTTGATTTAAAACAATATATAACCAGTGCTCAAAGAAATCCATGTACAGTGCTTCAAGGTGTGACTATTTTGGAAAAAATACAGTGAGTACAAAATTAAATTAATTAGGGTTAACCTACCTCTTCAGTTCTTGGAGGCATATCCGTCAGTGCTTCTTGTGCTGAATCAACTAAAATTTAAAAGCACATTCAGTTACTGATGAAATTTAATAAAAAATAAGACAAGACTAATACTTAGTTCAGTCCATAAAAAATGACATACCGGTACAAAGCAATATGTATAAACACCCTTACAAATGTTTGCAAATCAATCAAGCATGCATTCAACCACAAATGACAACAGCTTACAGTTTTTGAGCTGGTATTCAATCCCTGCCTTTAGGTTAAAAGCTTCAATTAAAGCTGTTTCATGTAAAACCTATAAAAGGAAGAAAATCAATAATTTGAACCAAATAAAAATATATTTAAATGTAACAGAGGGTGAATTAATTTTGATTCTTAAACAATGATGTAAATAATAAGACAGCAACTGAAATGAAAAATATAAATATAGCCCCCATCTATAAACTGAACTTTTTATCATCACAATAAACTGGTGTTGTAGTTTAAGAATTGACAAGTGTTTAGAACTTTACCCAGTCTGCCACACTGGCTAGGAACTAAGTCAGTAAACTTCAGACAGGTCAAGACAAGAACTATAAAGTTAATATATACTAATTAATCTTTTTATTTCTTAGCCAGCCAAAGGTACAACTAACCTTGGTGTTTCCAACACTTCTGACTTCAATACCTTCTGTTGTCATGCCAACACTGAGTTCTAGAATAATGAAAAATAGTGCGTCACTTATTACAGTGAAACAAGCCGTTCTTTTGCATGCCACTTTGCAACACTGTTATCCGGAACAAGTGTTTCAACATTGACAGTTTGCTTGCAGCAACTTGTAAGTTCAAATTGTTTATAGACAGAGAGGTAAGAGGCCCTATAGGCAGTGGTAGACCACTGATAACCAGCTTTTATTGAAACCGCTGTTACATGTATGAGAATATTGATAGGTAAATTACCCCCTTTTGCGGGAAACCCTTCAATTATTACCATCATGATTCTAATTATTAATATAATATTTACTAACCTGGATGCTCTCTGATTCCTCTTTCAATTATGTCAGCAATGTGCTTTAGGGCAGGTGCATACTGTTTTAGGCTGTAGAAACACAATGCTATGTTGTATGATAGATCTGAAAAAAAATATGGATGATAAATCCAAAACATAAGTGCAAATAACATGTTAAGAAAAATAACATGCTAAGAAGGTGTGAAGAAGAAGATTAAAGATAACATACAGTGGAACCTCTCCTTTGGGACACCTCTATTCAAGAGACAAGGTCTCCATTCAGGGGACACAAAAATTAATTTCGTCCCAGAAAAAAGCCCACATAATCTATGTATTTTATTTCCTCTTTTGAAGGGGCACCTCTATTGAGGGGAAAGGGACAATTTTTCTAGGTCACGAAACCTGGGTTTAACCTTCTTTCAGGGGACACCATAGCATGCAAAAAGTGACTGATCACAAGAGGAATCGATATCTTTAAGTATCCCTTATGGAGCTTTCACATACTGAACTATCTGACTTAAATCGATGTACTGCACTTGCATGAATTCAACATATGTCACAGAGAAAAGCTGAAGATTATTTTTTATGTTGTCTTTGTTGGTTGATTATTAACAAACCCCAGCCCAACCTCCATTCAGGGGACACTTCTATTCATGGGAAACTTGCCTCAGTCTGGAGGGTGTCTCCTGAATAGAAGTTTCACTGTAAATGGAAACTAGATAATGGGAGGATAAGTCAGTCTTGGTAATAAATCTCAAAAGCCACATCTACAGGCTGCACAGTTACTATTCTCTCTGACAAATTTTAAAACATAGTTACCTGGTTGATATCCAAGAATGTTCATAGCCGTCTGGAATTTTTGACAAGCCTCAGCATATCTACCCTCCTATTAAAAACAAATTTTGATGTGATTTTTTTATCACTATTGTAAACAGTATTCATTCTTTAAGACCTGCTACACATACTGTACACCTGTAGATGTAACTGACAACCATACAACAGCGAGAGAACACAATGAAAGATCAAAAACAAATAGATCCATCAGCCATCATTGTATAGACACAATTTAGGAGAACTGGTTGGAAAAATGTGAAAGACACAAGGGGCACTTTAAGGAAACTTGAAGGGAGCCCAGTGCTCTGAACCTGTAAAATCTAGGGTGCCCAGCATATGATTTGAATGAAAAAGTTGGATTTTCTAGTTGCCCAAGAGCAAAAGTTGGGCATCAGGGGACATCAGGCTCTGCTAGGGCATAGCCCTGGGTGATTCTTTTTTCTTATATAAATTGAACATAAAATGGTTGGTGCATTACCTGGGGGGACAAAAAACAAATTCTGCATGATGAAAACAAGATTATTTTGAGCTACCCACCTGTAATATATTGTTATTTGCAATAAAAAGTATTTTTTAAGTCTAAGAGGTGGCTCATATATATAACATCTATGGGGGGACATGCTCCAGGATAAGACTCACTATTACAGTTTGTGGCAACAGTGTCTAGATTTCACTAATTATCACACATATTTTTCTCAGCTGATAATTATGTTATTTCTTACCTTGTATAGAAGACAGCCAAGATTGATTTCTGTGTCTGCATCATCAGCAGGACATTGTTCTACCATACTCTAAATTTGTAACACAGAGAATAATCATACTGTCACTGTAATGATGCACTGTCATTATAGTTTAATATGTCTATGAACTTCTTTTGTGCTAAATTCTTAGTCCATTTTGCTTGTGGAAGAGACAGCTATTTATGCAAAAGGCTTTTAATGCTAGAAATAAATTTACATTCCTTCTTTTTTTGTATAATGACAAGTAACAACAAGAAACCATATATATGTCTCAGGTCAAATTTTATTTCAGGTTATTTTGATTTAACCTAGGATGATTCTCAATTTCCTAAAATGTCTCCTCGCCCAAGGAGACAAAGGAAATTATTGAAAATAAACCTAAGTTAAATCAAAATTAACCTGAAATTAAATTTGAAGTGAAAAGAATCTGTTAAATTCCCCACGTATTACTTTCTAATTTTCAAAACAACCTTTATTTTCAAAGCGCACAAGAGTGTCATCAGCATATTAATTTTTATACTCTCATAAAGCGCACTTTTTCAACCAATCAGAGTGTACATTGTACATGTACATCTGAACTTTGTTAATTCTATAAATTAAACCCTGGCTGTGAAATCTTGTGAGGTAAGGGACCACCTAAATGACAAAAAACAAAGTATGTACATGTATTAGTCATAGAAACACTCACCTTAGCTCCTTGTAAATCTTCCTCTCCATATTTTATAGCAGCTTGAAGTTTCAGCACCTGGTGAGTAAAGAAGCCATAAAACCATTGTAACGTTTATGAAATATTCGAGACAAGTTAATCTAAAACGTAACCTAACTGAACAAAATAGAAGTTCCAAGAACTCCAGGAAGTGTCCTTAAAAAACTTGAAAGTCAGTAAGTACCTCCTCTTGCTTGTGGGTCCTCTACCTCTAAACCAAGATAAAGTGTGTAGCTCCGCCCGTATAAGGGGTTTGCTCTATGACCCCACCTCCCCTGTGGAAATTCCAATTTTCCTTCATACATTTTTTTTTCTCTTTCTCTCTCTCTCTCTCTTTGAGACCTCCCTCTTGGAATTTCCCATCCCTTCTGTGGGAGAGAAGGGTTGTTTTCTGGAATTACACAACACAATGAATTACAATCACACAACAGACAAGTAGAAATGAGATAATACTTCTAAGGTATAGTGCAGGCCTCACCTTGGAATGGTAGGTAGGATTTTCAATCTGAAATGTTGCTTTCATGGCTTCTGGATACATGAAGGCTTTATACAAGGACTGTAAAGAAAATAAAATGACATTGCATTACAACAGTACTGTAGTAAAAGGACTTTTGCCTTAAAGTGGAACTTCTTAACAAGGCAAGTAGTATAGTTTTATAGGAAAATANTTCTCTCTCTCTCTCTCTTTGAGACCTCCCTCTTGGAATTTCCCATCCCTTCTGTGGGAGAGAAGGGTTGTTTTCTGGAATTACACAACACAATGAATTACAATCACACAACAGACAAGTAGAAATGAGATAATACTTCTAAGGTATAGTGCAGGCCTCACCTTGGAATGGTAGGTAGGATTTTCAATCTGAAATGTTGCTTTCATGGCTTCTGGATACATGAAGGCTTTATACAAGGACTGTAAAGAAAATAAAATGACATTGCATTACAACAGTACTGTAGTAAAAGGACTTTTGCCTTAAAGTGGAACTTCTTAACAAGGCAAGTAGTATAGTTTTATAGGAAAATAACACCTCTTGGTGACTTGAAAAATGCTCTTAAGTCCACACAAAAAAGACCAGGTCTGATAGTATGCCAGTACAGTCCAAGGCAAGCATGGTTTACAATAAAAACACTGACATCCAAATAACTTTTAGACAAGTTGTAAATTAATAAAAAAAGATCCCTCAAGAACTTGCACAGGCAAGATCTTTCAGAACTTGACTGTAATATCTGATATCCAGGAATTAAATCATTTTACAACTCAAAACCGAGCTAAATATTTTTATTTAAGTGCACTGACTTATCTTTCTCAACCATTCAATAACCACAAAAGTTTTGTGTGTGTGTATGGGTGTATCTGTGCAGGTGTATAAAAACCTTACAATCATGAGCCAAAAAAGATTTACCATAAAAACCTTCCTTGTCTCACAAACCTGAGCATAAGCTAACTTGTACTCATCTACTTCAGGATGAATCTGTGTGAGCTGGCCATAACTATAATTGTGAGATAATAAAAAGACAGACATAGAAAATTGAGGATAAACGAAGGTTGAAAAATTTTAACATGAATTTAATTTTGACCTTCAACATGCATATATATTAAGCTAGGTTTTGGCCAGACAGTCAAAAGCCAATTTTTTGGAGAAATGAGGTAAATTAAGTTAGATCTTGGTTTTAGAACGGCTACCTTAAGAGCTGATAAAGATTTGGGATTTTGGGGTACAGTTAGTAAGAAATCTTTCACCCGAGAGAGTTCAATTTTTCATGAGGGAAGACTTGCGCCCACAACTACATATAGAGTTAGAGAATTCCTGGCTAAAGTCCTGAGTTTATTGTTATTATATTAGAGCCCCAGTAAGATGCATAAGACCAACTAAAAATGCTTAGTGGAACTGCCGGTGGGCTATGCAGTGTGTATGTTGTAGGTATTTCTCAGTTTAAACCAGTCTTCAACTTACAATGGGGGGAAAGTGGGGGGGGGAGGCTTTCTTCTTCCACCTCCTGTATCCTTCCCACTCCCTCTTCTCCTAGGCTCCATCCCCTTGTCCTCCCCCACCAAGATACCAAGATTAGAGCCCTAGCAAACCCTAATACGCTGAATACTAGTTTAAACTTTGAAGTTATTATGCCTACAACAGTCATGTACACTTACCAGTCAGCAGCTGCATCAAAGCTTTGAACTTGAAAGTAACAGTAGCCTAACAAGGACAGTGCTGCTCTTGACTGAGAGAAAAAAAGGTCATTGAAAATCAGTTTTATTTTGGTCATTTCTTGTTCCCAGGGTTCTCTCCTAGCCATCCATCTCTCACTCTCGTTCTGCACGGATGGGTAGGGGAGAACCCTGGGAACAAGGTTCATACAGTTCTATCATTTCTTTGCAAAGGAGGAACTATAAACAATCTCAGCTACTATAAAGTACTTGAGTTAAAACTTTCAGTTGTTCAATGTAAAATGCATCAAGTAGGTAACAGAGAAGTCTTCTTCCTTACTTTTTGCAAACTGTGCTGACCCACATAATGCTATTTAAACTGTACTTTTCTGTTGACACTTCTATAAGTTATGATTCAAATAAAGTTAAAGTCCAATACTTGGCCACATTACCATCCATCACTTTATATTGTGTTAACTTGCCTTAGGGTGATTCTCCAGCTCCTGGGAGAGGATTTGGATTGCTTCATGAAACTTTTGATTCTTTATCTACAATATAGTGGAGCAAAATAGTGTGAGGAATAGCTTTACAAAAACATTTATCCTATCTAGAATAGGAATTAAATATGCACTAGGGTTGGAATTATTTTGCTGTCTAGTGTACAAGAGGTTACAAAATACAGGAAAACAAGATTTCAGAGTCCTACTGAGAAATTAACAAATAAAGGCAATACATTGTTTACCGACAACCAATCTTCTCTCCTCACTTAGAAGGCAGGATTCTCACAAGCCCTTTTTTTTGTGAGCTTCTGCCTCCTGGAAGTCAGGATCTAGAGAGTCCATTTTTCCCAAGGCAGATTCATTCATCTCTAACATATGGATTAATGAAAGATTTTGACAGCACCCAGATTCTTGGCTTGCAACCACGTGACAAGGCAGCCATGTTGGTGGTGTTGGTGGTCAATACGGTAGAATTTTTTCTTGAACAATTTACAGAAAATAGGGTTTAGTTCCCAGAGGAGAGAAATGCATTTTTCTGACCACCAACACACCACCAACATGGCTGCTGTGACGTCACGTCCAAACCAGCAATAAGGAGAACTCAAAATTTAGTAAGAAGATGGCACTACATATACCTCAAGGCAATGCATGGCAATTCAAACTCCCTACATTTTGAGCCAACAGGGTCCATCTATACCAGTCATACCTTACAAAAAATGAAATACCTTCCATGTGGGAAATGCAGATTTAAAATGAGATGTCCCAATGTAGCATTCTCCCGTCGGTTAAAAGGGGAGGGATAACTGTATGTCAAACCACAACTACGGTCATACACTAAGACACAGGCTCTGAGAGCCAAAATACAGCATTATGACTGGATAAAAACCTACATTAACTAAGTAATGGACGTTTGAAAGTCATTAGAAGATATGATCTGAAAAAAACACTTTAAGTTAAGCAGCTGGGAACCCAATTTTAACACTCACAAATTTTGCGTTGTTCCCGAGCAACCGATGTCAACAAAATATCAAACCCCCGAATCAGATCTAAACACGGTAAGATCACACTAAAAAGCTTACCATTCCGTAAATTGTAGTCGTATATTCTCCTTCTTTGACTTGTGTAGTCGCCATCTCGATAACCAAACGCGTAAAGGAACGAAGAAATTCACGAAAATTTTCAGAGAGACGACAGCAAAGNCGTTGTTCCCGAGCAACCGATGTCAACAAAATATCAAACCCCCGAATCAGATCTAAACACGGTAAGATCACACTAAAAAGCTTACCATTCCGTAAATTGTAGTCGTATATTCTCCTTCTTTGACTTGTGTAGTCGCCATCTCGATAACCAAACGCGTAAAGGAACGAAGAAATTCACGAAAATTTTCAGAGAGACGACAGCAAAGGAAGAATATTTCAGAGAGTTCCCCGGATTCCCTGGATTGTCAAATGATAAACTAGATCCCAGTACACCGCGACAAAAAACTTGCGCCTGGCAAATATCGTTCTTTTCATTGACCCCGCGACAATGATTCTTTGTAATTGATCAGATTGTCACTTTCGTGCAAACATCGGACAGGGTATAATCTTAGACTCTAGGTAAGAAAAAGTTATAATTTTGCTGTGCTTCTTTATTTTAGGAAGCTTCTTTCACTGACAGAAGCAAGCAATGATTTGCTTAAGATAATCGGCGCCGTATTGAGTAGTCTTTTATCGTTCATTATATTTCATTCTGGGATTTTAAAAATTTGAAGGCCAACTAAACATCTGCGTTAGCTTAGCTTGTAGCTAACATGTATGGATTTGCTTCCATCATGTTCATTCATAACTTGCCGATCTATTTAGTGGCCTTCAATTACAATCCTCTAATTAAATTCTGTAGGACGTGTCTTATGTAATTTCTGGTAGAATTTCCTTTTACAATCCTGAGTATCCCTTCATTTATTTGTTCACTGGTTGGTTAATTAATAATTTCGTGATTTCCCAGTGGATATTCCAAAATATACAGTACAGAAAATAACCTTTCTTAAAGTCGTAAAAATTATCTTCAATTATTTTTTTATTTTTTTTTTTCATCTTTGGGATTTTTAGGTTAAAAGGTTTTTTTTTGCAATCAGACACTAAAGCCACACCTTTTGAATTATTTATCACTGACAAAAACTCTTTGTTGGAAAGTAAATTAAAGTTTTCAGTTGGTATATTATGTTTTCTTGAGTAAGCATTCGAGACATATAAATTCTTTTATTCTAATAACTAGAAAGTTGATGCATTTTTATAAGCAAAAAATTCAGAGAGGGAAATTATGATGAAAACAAAAATGTTACATTTTTCTTATGCTTCAGTGGAGGAAGTAAGCATCTAAAACCCCTCAGGTCATATAATTTTATTATGTGTTTGTTTAAAATAGTGAGGTTGTTTATAAGGATTTAGATAGGATATCACTAACACATTAGAGAAAGAGGTAGATAGAGTGCACACTGTACAGATAAAAACTAGAACTTGCTTCTTTTATGTTTCTTTACTTGTTCTTACAAAGTCCAGCTTTAGTTCTTACAGTACATGCAGGTTGATTGACACCTCTTGCAAGTAACTACACTATTTCAAGACTAATCAATACTGCTATTATATATACCATTGTTGTTATTTTAATTTTCTTCTTGCTTCAGTGAAAGATCATTCTCTCTCTTTGGATTAAAATGGACGTATTATTAAGAATCTCAATGGCCTTAGTGCTTTGCCTCTCAGCATTAGGATCCAAAGTCAAGTTACCTCCAGATATGTCCCAAGGTTTGTATGAAAGTCAATAGATCCTCACAGTACTATCGATCACAAGTAAAGACCTGGACCTTTTATATCTTAGAGTAACCGTTTTTTCCATTGTTAAGGCATTAGATAAAATCTTGAATTCTTATTACATAACTCTAGCTTATCAATGCAACAAAAGAGATCAGGTATTCACAGTCATGTTTTTAATATTATATTAAAAACATGACCGTGTAGTGTCCCAAGTTATAATTGAAGTAAGACAAAACTGCAGTCACATTCATGAAGGTGTCAATACCTGATCTCTTTTGTTATCTCTGATGGCACTTACATCATATCTTTGTTTTTTGGCTTCTTTTGAATAAAATGAGCTGTTATTGTTGTCATTAGATTGCCCAAAATCTCAATTTTTATTTGACAAAGAAGCTTACCTTTTTTATGTGTTTTCCTTTCTAGCAATTTTCTGTGAGAGTTGCAGTGCTGTGATGCAAGGTAATGAAACCATGTGACTTTTATTGACAATGGCCACTAACATGACAGGTCTTAATTTTAGCTGAAGCCTTTATCCATGATATGTATACCCAGAGTTCTAAAGAGGAAAGGGCCTTTGCCATTTTGTAGTGGAAAATCCCAAATCAATATTATATACCCTCAATAAGGAGAGCAGGGTTGCTCGCCCACAGATTTTTGAGCAAAAGAGAGACTGCTTGCAGCCTATGGAGAAGGGCATAACATGGGTACCAATACTGCGAAACTGCACAGAATTAAATATAAACACCACACAGAATAACATAAGAAACTGTAAACCGCATTGAAATTACCCAAAAATTTCTAAATACCACAAACTGCGTGGTTTTGTAAAACAGCAATACAACTTAAAATAAAAATTCCCGCAAAACAGCACCAAAAATCGAGCCAAAGCTCGTCACCACAAACCCGTATGCCCCCCTCCCTCTGATAAGACAAGACAGACCAAAATTATATTTAGAACAGTCAATAGAGAGCGCTTTGTAAGGCTAATGAACAGTCAGTTATAGGGAGAGAGGGAAAGAGTTTCCATTGAAAGCAAAAAAATATTACCGACATTGAAATGTGTACACTGTAAATGTGTTGCAAGGAGAGCTGCCTTTGACCTTCAAAGAGAATTAATGTTCTTTCAAAACAGAGTGATCCACTAGCAGGACAGAGTGAAAAGCAAACTGGAAATGTTTTCTTTTACTTTTCTGTCTTTGGCCTGTTCCAGGCTCTTTTTACTATACATCTACTTGCTATTATTTTGATTGTCCAGGATAAATGAGAATGCAGAAACCTAGAACAAAGGCTAACCTGTCCCTCACCTGAAACCCTGCCTCTCCCCACCCACTTCCCCCTTCTCAGCCATGGTATTTCATGACAGCAACCATTCACACATGAAGACAGAAAATCAAGGAGAGGGAAGTGGTTGGGGATCAGCTCTCTCCATGTAGAAAGAGGGTAAGAAAGAAAACAGAAATTCCTTCTAATTTTGCTGTGTTTTTCCCATCTCTTTTTAGAAATAGGCAAGTTGTTAGCCAAAAAGAGTTCTGATCCAAGAGAATTGCAAGTGGTTGAAGCAATGGAGGACATCTGTCAAGCTAAATATTTTTCAAAGTATCACTATTCTCCACCTACAACAATTAAAGCTTGTAAATTTCTCATAGGTGAGTTTTCTGGCTTTGATTTTAAATAAATTAATGTGTCTGTGATTTCTTTTTTTTTTTAGTTTTCTGTTCCTTTCTTTTGTCCTGTTCTAAATTCATAAAATACCGCAGGAAAATAGTCCACAGTCAAAAGCTGGTGGTCGACCATAGTGCACGGCCATTATTGACAGCTTAGTACAGCCGTATCAAAGTGTATTTTGCTTCTTTTTTCATTGAAAAATAATCAGAAATCACAGGTGGCCATGACATGCTATAATCAAAACTTGTACATTTAATATTCTCAGTGCACTGGCATTCTTTCTCCTAAAACTGCATTTACATGCCGGGCAAATTTTACTTGGCAAAGTGAAAGTTTGTGTTAAGCCTAAAACAATATTAACCATGATAAAATATATTAAGTCTCTCTTCCTATTACACCCCTCTCTAGTAAATCCCCCCCCCTCTCTTTGAAGGTTGAACTTTGTAATAAACCCAGTCGCTAATAATCACTCTGTTATACGAGATGTTTAGATTAAAATATAATAAGCTTCGTCCAGCTTGTAATTGAGTTTTTATGGTAGCCTTAACCGCGAAGGTAAGTTGATTAACGGAATTTATGAAGGGGTCACTCGAAACACGTTCACTTAATACAGCTTTCAATGTAATAGGCCACCTAGTTCCAAAAACCCTCACTTTCAAAATGAGGCTAGGTGCACAACCTTTCTTGTGAAAATAAGTTTTATTTGCATGAGAATGAACAATAGGGCCATTTATAGGAGGAAAAATAAGAGGCGTCTTACATAAGACGCGTCTTAAATAAGACGCGAAGTGTACCATTTATACGAGCATGTCTTATCTAATAAGACGCGTCGTAGCTAAGCCGCGTCTTATTTTAGACGAAATGTGCCGTTTATACGGAAAGTTCGTGTCTTATTTAAGACGCGTCTTATTTTTCCTCGTATAAATGGCCCTAATGATTTCCATATCAAAGGCTGAGCACCTACCCTCGTTTGAAACAGAGGCATGGGGGAACTCAGAAATGGCGTATTTTTACGTGTTTTTTTTTTTTGGCAGTAAAATACGAAGAAGAACTGGAACAGCTGTTGACCACGAAGTCAGCAGATTATGAAAAGGAAGTCTGCTACGAGTTGACGAAGGCTTGCGAAGGAGTAGACAGAAGTAAGAAAGAAAAAGAAGAGATGGATGTCCGGTTTAATGATCAGAAACAAGAGGTTAAAACGGAAAAATCAACACCACAGAAAGACGACGATGGAATTCAAAGGATGAACATTGATATTAACGATCCCGGTGCCGCGAAACGATTAGCAGATCAAATCAAAATGCAGGTTGCACAGCAGCAGGCAATGGGTGGCGGAAGTGATGATGAAGATGATGATGATGACGAAGATGAAGACGAAGAGGAAGATGAGGATGAAGACAACTCGTCAAAAACTAAGAAGAAAACTGAACTTTAATCAACTGTAAAACGTGATTAGTTTTTCTTTTCTAATGTTTGTTTTTTTGTTGTTTTGCCTTCTAGAGTTTACCCTGTCAGCAGAGGTTTCCTTTCGCTAGCTCGATTCATTTTTAGCGTACTGGGTCAAGGAGAAGACAAAAAGAAGATTCTGCTCGCAGCTGGGCGCGATCCATTCAACCAAAATTCAGACCGGTCTGACTGGGAAAAGTGGTCCACCTCAAAAGGTGGACCAGTTTTTTCGAAACTTTTCCGGTTGGACCGAACCGATCCATAGAGACATATAAATTCTTTTATTCTAATAACTAGAAAGTTGATGCATTTTTATAAGCAAAAAATTCAGAGAGGGAAATTATGATGAAAACAAAAATGTTACATTTTTCTTATGCTTCAGTGGAGGAAGTAAGCATCTAAAACCCCTCAGGTCATATAATTTTATTATGTGTTTGTTTAAAATAGTGAGGTTGTTTATAAGGATTTAGATAGGATATCACTAACACATTAGAGAAAGAGGTAGATAGAGTGCACACTGTACAGATAAAAACTAGAACTTGCTTCTTTTATGTTTCTTTACTTGTTCTTACAAAGTCCAGCTTTAGTTCTTACAGTACATGCAGGTTGATTGACACCTCTTGCAAGTAACTACACTATTTCAAGACTAATCAATACTGCTATTATATATACCATTGTTGTTATTTTAATTTTCTTCTTGCTTCAGTGAAAGATCATTCTCTCTCTTTGGATTAAAATGGACGTATTATTAAGAATCTCAATGGCCTTAGTGCTTTGCCTCTCAGCATTAGGATCCAAAGTCAAGTTACCTCCAGATATGTCCCAAGGTTTGTATGAAAGTCAATAGATCCTCACAGTACTATCGATCACAAGTAAAGACCTGGACCTTTTATATCTTAGAGTAACCGTTTTTTCCATTGTTAAGGCATTAGATAAAATCTTGAATTCTTATTACATAACTCTAGCTTATCAATGCAACAAAAGAGATCAGGTATTCACAGTCATGTTTTTAATATTATATTAAAAACATGACCGTGTAGTGTCCCAAGTTATAATTGAAGTAAGACAAAACTGCAGTCACATTCATGAAGGTGTCAATACCTGATCTCTTTTGTTATCTCTGATGGCACTTACATCATATCTTTGTTTTTTGGCTTCTTTTGAATAAAATGAGCTGTTATTGTTGTCATTAGATTGCCCAAAATCTCAATTTTTATTTGACAAAGAAGCTTACCTTTTTTATGTGTTTTCCTTTCTAGCAATTTTCTGTGAGAGTTGCAGTGCTGTGATGCAAGGTAATGAAACCATGTGACTTTTATTGACAATGGCCACTAACATGACAGGTCTTAATTTTAGCTGAAGCCTTTATCCCTGATATGTATACCCAGAGTTCTAAAGAGGAAAGGGCCTTTGCCATTTTGTAGTGGAAAATCCCAAATCAATATTATATACCCTCAATAAGGAGAGCAGGTTGGCTCGCCCACAGATTTTTGAGCAAAAGAGAGACTGCTTGCAGCCTATGGAGAAGGGCATAACATGGGTACCAATACTACGAAACTACACAGAATTAAATATAAACACCACACAGAATAACATAAGAAACTGCAAACCGCATTGAAATTACCCAAAAATTTCTAAATACCACAAACTGCTTGGTTTTGTAAAACAGCAATACAACTTAAAATAAAAATTCCCGCAAAACAGCACCAAAAATCGAGCCAAAGCTCGTCACCACAAACCCGTATGCCCCCCTCCCTCTGATAAGACAAGACAGACCAAAATTATATTTAGAACAGTCAATAGAGAGCGCTTTGTAAGTCTAATGAACAGTCAGTTATAGGGAGAGAGGGAAAGAGTTTCCATTGAAAGCAAAAAAATATTACCGACACTGAAATGTGTACACTGTATATGTGTTGCGAGGAGAGCTGCCTTTGACCTTCAAAGAGAATTAATGTTCTATTAAAACAGAGTGATCCGCTAGCAGGACAGAGTGAAAAGCAAACTGGAAATGTTTTCACTTACTTTTCTGTCTTTGGCCTGTTCGAGGCTCTTTTTACTATACATCTACTTGCTATTATTTTGATTGTCCAGGATAAATGAGAACGCAGAAACCTAGAACAAAGGCTAACCTGTCCCTCACCTCAAACCCTGCCCCCCCCCCTCCCCCTTATCACCCATGGTATTTCATGACAGCAACCATTCACACATGAAGAGAGAAAACCAAGGAGAGGGAAGTGGTTGAGGATCAGCTCTCTCCATGTAGAAAGAGGGTAAGAAAGAAAGCAGAAATTCCTTCTAATTTTGCTGTGTTTTTCCCATCTCTTTTTAGAAATAGGCAAGTTATTAGCCAAAAAGAGTTCTGATCCAAGAGAATTGCAAGTGGTTGAAGCAATGGAGGACATCTGTCAAGCTAAATATTTTTCAAAGTATCACTATTCTCCACCTACAACAATTAAAGCTTGTAAATTTCTCATAGGTGAGTTTTCTGGCTTTGATTTTAAATAAATTTATGTGTCTGTGATTTCTTTATTTTTTAGTTTTCCTTTCTTTTGTCCTGTTCTAAATTCAAAAAATACCCCAGGAAAATAGTCCATGGTCAAAAGCTGGTGGTCGACCTTAGTGCACGACCATTATTTACAGCTTAGTACAGCCATATCAAAGTGTATTTTGCTTCTTTTTTCATTGAAAAATAATCAGAAATCACAGGTGGCCATGGCATGCTATAATCAAAACTTGCACATTTAATATTCTCAGTGCACTGGCATTCTTTCTCCTAAAACTGCATTTACACGCCGGGCAAATTTTACTTGGCAAAGTGAAAGTTTGTGTTAAGCCTAAAACAATATTAACCATGATAAAATATATTAAATCTCTCTTCCTATTACACCCGTCTCTACTAATTCCCCCCCCCCCTCTCTTTGAAGGTTGAACTTTGTAATAAACCCAGTCGCTAATAACTACTCTGTTATATGAGATGTTTAGATCAAATAAGCTTCATCCAGCTTGTAACAGAGTTTTTATGGTAGCTGTAACCACGAAGGTAAGTTGATTAATGGAATTTGTGAAGGGGCCACTTGAAACACGTTCGCTTATTATACAGCTTTCAATGTAATAGGCCACTTTGCTCCGAGTTCCAAAAACCCTCACTTTCAAAATGAGGCTAAGTGCACAACCTCTCTTGTGAAAATGAGTTTTATTTGCATGAGAATGAAAAGTGATTTCCATATCAAAGGCTGAGCACCTACCCTCGTTTTGAAACAGAGGCCCGGGGAAACTCGGAAATGGCGTATTTTTACTTTTTTTTTTTTTTGACAGAAAAATATGAAGAAGAACTGGAACAGCTGTTGACCACGAAGTCAGCAGATTATGAAAAGGAAGTCTGCTACGAGTTGACGAAGGCTTGCGAAGGAGTAGACAGAAGTAAGAAAGAAAAAGAAGAGATGGATGTCCGGTTTAATGATCAGAAACAAGAGGTTAAAACGGAAAAATCAACACCACAGAAAGACGACGATGGAATTCAAAGGATGAACATTGATATTAACGATCCCGGTGCCGCGAAACGATTAGCAGATCAAATCAAAATGCAGGTTGCACAGCAGCAGGCAATGGGTGGCGGAAGTGATGATGAAGATGATGATGATGACGAAGATGAAGACGAAGAGGAAGATGAGGATGAAGACAACTCGTCAAAAACTAAGAAGAAAACTGAACTTTAATCAACTGTAAAACGTGATTAGTTTTTCTTTTCTAATGTTTGTTTTTTTGTTGTTTTGCCTTCTAGAGTTTACCCTGTCAGCAGAGGTTTCCTTTCGCTAGCTCGATTCATTTTTAGCGTACTGGGTCAAGGAGAAGACAAAAAGAAGATTCTGCTCGCAGCTGGGCGCGATCCATTCAACCAAAATTCAGACCGGTCTGACTGGGAAAAGTGGTCCACCTCAAAAGGTGGACCAGTTTTTTCGAAACTTTTCCGGTTGGACCGAACCGATCCATTGAGTTTTGGGCCGAAATTTCCGGAATTTTTGGTTGAATGGATCGCTCCAAGTGTCAAGAGAAAATGAACGTTATATTAATACCAACGCTATAAAATTCTACAAAGTGACACTCTTTCCTTATATGAAAGGGTTGGTTTCTAAAGAAGCTCTTTTCCTGGCTAGAAATAGCAACAGCGGACAGGCGTTTTTAGGTTAAACGTATATATCTAACTTTCTTTTACAAGCGCTCTAAAGGACCGGAGGAAATGACAGGCAAACCAAAGATCAGTTCACCGCTAGGTCTATGTTCATTACCCACCGAACATTGTCCTTTGACTGGCTGATACTTTAAGCCCTAAAATGTGTAATGTGATGTTGCGAGAAGGCCGAAAAATCGCCACCCTTTTCCCTTCTTTACTCCAAACTGATGAAGATTGCAAGGCTTGTCTTCTAAAGATCAATATTCAAGGAAAATTACAAATTTCGAGTCGTTTAATCAACTGAATCTGATGACAAGCAGTTTCTTGGGAAAAGATCTGCCTAACGGAAAATTTCTTTTGAACGGTAACACCAAAAGATTTCACCCACAGACACAAAACTAGGTACAACGAAACATGGACCCATTTTCGAGGGAGTGAACTAAACTGAAGTTTCTAGCGCTAGCTTCCCCTTTCCCCAAATATCTAAATTTGCATAGAAGTAGGTAACTCTATGTCTGTACAATTTCTAAACCGAAAAATTCTTATACTATAATTTTACTTATCGACTTTTATTCATAATTTCTACAAATGCATTATTAATATTAAAGTAATATATTATAAACAATCATCCTTTTCTGAAAGTGCTAATTAGTTTATCAACGAGTCTGCGAAGCGTAATATGAAAAATAAGAAAAAGAAAAGAAAAATATAAACAAACTCGTTTATAAACGACTACGGCTCCGGGCTACGGCTATAAGTTACGGCTATAAGTAGCTTGAGCACGGAAACCGAGGAAAACTGGAAAGGAGCCCCCAGAAGTTTCTCCTGACTCCTGACAGCTTGCCCTCAGGATTTGTAATTTCTTGACAGTTTCTTTGGCAATTCGAATACCGTAACAGTCTCTCAGGTTGTTTGGCGACCAAGTTACGACAAACGAATGAGTTCTTTCGGCTCGCTCGCTCCCTTTCTTTATCCTTGTCTTCAGCCTGGACTGGACGAACTTGCTCAAGGGCTGTTGGCATGGAGTCTGGCTTTGGTGGACGATTTTCCCTGTGGCCTGCGTAGCTGGCGGGATTGTTGTGCCCGGAGTACTTTTTTGGCGGCGGAGCCGACACGTGAAGCGAGTGGCGACGGGTCGTGGCGACGCCGACTACTAGTAGCACCCAATCTTCACGCGGTTTCGTCGCCAAAAAACTACAGCACTTGCCCGCTAATCCCGCCAGCTAAGCAAATTTTCCTGTCATTCGAGCGACCTTCACGTTTAATGAAGTGGTGACTAATTTAATTCCATCATATTATCTCTTTAGGACTCCGACCAAAGAAAGATCAATGACCGATGACAACTCGTTCAACCCGATGTTCGTATAAACTCTCCCACCATTGAGCTATCACTCCACCTAATAGAACTGAGGGGCTTAATTCAGCAAAGAACAGGATGAAAACAGCCAAGCGTTACGGTAGTATGATTCTTGATTAATACAGTCGAACCACCACCCAAAATACCATGATTTAGTATTCGCTTGGGTACACATAATTCTACAATCCGTTGCGCTACAACTGTTACCCCACAATGTGGTCGAGGTCGCTTACGGGAGATGGTCGTTAACGGGAAGTACCAACGGGGAGTCGCAAGAAGTCACGCGAGAGCCAACCTCGTCTCAAGGGCGCTTTTCCCTGGCTTTGGAGGTGGGGCAGGGAGTGCGAATTGGCGACATTTTTTCGAAGGGCTGCAACACTATTTCAGCATTGTAACACTATGTTGTGCTAAAAATCGTCGTTGCAAATCGTCCTGTGTAACATCACCTTTACGAGATCAGAGGCGGTTGTCGCAAAACTGTATATAACGCCTGATATTTATTCGTCTGCCGTCGTGTTTATTTTCAAAACGATCGATGATACTATTAGCATTGCACGATACTTAGATCAATGCACTTAATCTGTTATATTTGCGTTTTGTTAATCAATAGTGGAGTTCTGGTAAGTTGCTTCGCGTACTTAAATAAAATTAGAGACAGGAGGTTCGTAAAAGGTATTTGTCTGAACATGGAAAGTTTAGCATTGAATGTCGTAAAACAACTCCAGAGTAGCTTTACTTTAACGAAACACACGAAGCTGATCCAAAAACTTAAAAAAGAAAGCATGAAACCGAAGTAAGGGGGCATCCATGTTTTTTTTTTTGGCCCGAGGTATCGGCAGTTATACTGAGGTGACCTTTTGTAAAAGATGACTGTGAATGTTTCCTTTGACCCTATTTTCGGCAGCAAATCATCTTCAGTTTTCAGGGAATAATTCGTAAAGAGAAAAGAGATTTTTCATTTTTCATTCAAGAGTTTTTCATTTCCTTCTTCTCTTTTTTCCCACATTTTAAACTTATTTTTGTCATGTATTTACATCAAACTGAAGCTAAAGATAATGTATTTTGATTGTATGTGGTGGTTTTTCACTTTGTTACTATAGTAACATCGCACGCTTATTTCTGCTAGGCCCAAAAGTGACGACCGGCATGTAGGCATTTTCGTTGGCCGCCAAGATAATCGACGGAGAGGTACTTCTAGTGTTCGACAACGTAGAGTTTATAAACCGGGCAAAAAAATAAAAACTCATGGTCACTTTCAAGAACATACACTTTCAAAACAGGGAGATTGTTATATTGAATTATTCAAAATGTCGACAACAAAACAAACCACTGTAAATAATTTAATTCAGCTTCAGGGCAAAGCAAAAATCAAAGTTATATTCACGATGAGTTGCTGTTAGCTGTGCATGAAAAAGGAGAAATTTTGACCTTTTCTTGATTGTGTTTCGCTGACATTTTTCAACGTTTTTCATTTTAGCCTCGAAAACATTTGCCAGTGTTTCATTGTGAAATTTCAGTCTGAATCATTTGGACAGCCACGCGTTTATATTAAATTTCGGCTATTTATTTTATTCCTTGTTTTAATTGTTGTTGTATAATAGTATGGTTTGTCCGATAGAAAACCTTAAAACAATTGCTAAGAATAAATAATTTAACATCTCGATTCTCTGTCTTAATTTTACGGACATAGAGGAGAATGAGTTTACTTATGGCCTATTTGCAAAATGATTTCTTTTAATACGTTTTAACCTTTAAAACGCTTACGAACATCATAATTTTCAAGTAAATGGATGCATCGCTACATGGTATGCTACATTCAAGAAAAACACCGGATGTGGTAGGCCTTGAAAGACCTAAACTGGAGAGATAATGAATTCACAATGTGTTCACTAGGGCACTAGGTTTTTGACGAAACTTCAAAGCTCAGTGTTGAAAAAAGAAAAAACCTATTCAAGTGTAAAGCAGAAAAACAACTTTCGCCACATACTTCTTTACGATGCGACGACATCGAGTATATAGCCAACAGCCTTATTATTTTCAGTTTCGATTACAACGGATTTTCTTTTATTAGGCGACAATTTCGTTGTCGACCTGCAGAATTGAATTCTCCACTGATTATGCATGAGCAGCTAATAATATCCGCTCATTTAGGCGAAATTTATGGCCTCACAGTTCTAACAAATTGTCTCAAAATGTTCGTTTTACCAAAGAAATAACACCATATCTCCATCTCTGTAGCTTGAGCTTCTTCACGGTCAAAGAATAGAACATTTCTGCTTCTCGGCGAATGGATTTTCTCTTCTTTCGGGTGGATGAATCAGTGGGTCTTTCGTTCCATTTTGCGTACAGTAGTCTTTCAGCCTAAGTTAGATAATAATGAAAATTAAAAATTTAACAACGTAAAATTTACTATTCATCGCTTTCTTGGACATTCTATACATTAAAAAATTACTTAAACGCAACAGCTGAGGAAAATACTGCTTAAACGCGCTTCAAACATCGAGGACAAAAGTAATCTGGAGATCTAAGACCATGCGCAGATGCTTCCATGCTAGACACAATTAAGAGAATTTGCAATTTCGCCCATTCTAAATACAGTTCTGACAATGATTTCTAGGTTAAAAAAACCTCCGTTTTTTCCCAATTATATTTTGCATTTAGACCGAAAACGTTCCCAGAGCAATAATAACGCGGCGTCTAGTGTTTCTCTTTTATCGCATTTATATATGAAACTTTGCCTAGTAAACGGCTTTGTTTATGGTTTCAGTTCATTTTGCGGCGAGTTTAGCAAAAAAAAATCCACATCAATATGAAAAAAGTATGGCTTCCGACTATTAAAATCGCGGATTTGCTTTTCTTAAAACGGGATTAAAATCCTTCAAAACTTGGAATCAAGAGATTTTTAAAACTGGGGTTTCTGGCGCACGTTCGAGCCTTTTTCGATTTACAAGAAGATCAGAGACGAGTGTTGTTTCTTACAGAAGCCTTATCACGCGCCCTGCAATCGCTTATATTCAAAGAACTTATTACTGATTTAGCATAGCAATAGGTTTAAATATTACAGTTGGCTTTTGTAGAAGCGGAAGAAACAAATTTTTGGCTGCGAAACGACGCCCGATTTGTGCTGATAGACAGTTCTCCGGCGATGTCGCTCGTGATAAACCTCCAAGTTTACAAATCTAAATCATGTCAAGACAAGGGCTAGACGGACTTACTCGTTACTGCATATAGACACAGGCATTCGGGAGATACGAAGTTGGTCTCTCAAGCTTTCAACAGTTTTCATCAGCTGTGCTCTGTCCATCTTTCAATGTGGATATGACATTAACTCGCATAAAACTTGCTTTTCGCTTTAATATTGCACGTATTGCTAAACACGGCCTTTCTCAGTGATCCGCACTCGGTGATCATCATGCAAAACCTTTCAGACTGTGAAATTTCATTGGTCGCCAAAACAAAGTTATAGAAAGTGAGCAATTAACATGAAAAATGAACCAATCGGGGACATTATATAAGACAAAAAATGCTAATAGCTACTGCACAGGTGAAAGGAGTTTGTTCAGATCTCCCCAGAAAAAAGCCTCTTAATGGGTGATATATTAACTGTTTTTTCGACGAAAAATGAATTTTATTTATGAGGTATTTCTTATGAAATTCAGATAACGGAAAGAAGTTCTCATCTATGACCGGTCTCTCTATTTTCTAAGTCATCGTCGATGTTTTTAATATGCAGCTATGAATTTTTACTTCCTGGTTTAAAAATGTCTTTGAGTACTTTATTGTTTTACTCCCGTTACTCGTATATTTTTGGTGCCAATCAGGAGCTATAACTGCTCGGTTTCTGAGAGGTTGCTATAATTTCGGTATAATTAATCGTAATGACTTGAATTTTCAAAAATTTAATTTTCCTTCTATTGATATTTGCATTTGGTCGGAGCCATTCTACGTGGATGCTGGAGAGAAACTCGTACGCCAGACAAAATATATAGGCCGGGGCAAATTTAGCTTAAATCAAACAACATTTCAATTAGAGTTTAGCAGTGATTCCAACCACTAGCTATAGTTCCTTCATTCGAAGTATAGCCTTCAGTCCCGGAAGAAAACAATTCTTTCTTAAATTAACGCGATTAGTACATTTGATAAACAGCCATAACATTACAACAACCAATAATATACACCCCCCCCCCCCC